GTGGGGGCTGCTACCTGCAAGGTCGGCCGTTCAAAACCACCAGCTGCTCCATTGGGAGCTTTCTGCTCCCACAGAGTGACCGTCTCAGAGACCCACAGGGGCAGCTCTCCCTGTCCCACAGGGTTCCCAGGGGTCAGATGGACTTCATGGTAGGGAGGGAGTGACCAACTTTGTCCTGCCTGGTTCACCCACTACCTTAGACCTGTTCCGATGCCTAGGGCCCCCTTGGCCCAGTATACAGAGTCGAACTGCCACCTGGGGTCCCCAAGGCTGCAATCCTCAGGGAAGCAAGTGGCCACATCTCTCGCCCCTCAGAGTGTCCCATGGGTCTGAACCTCTAACCTTTCAGTGAGAGCCGAGAGCTTAATGACTGGGCCAGTGGGGCTCCCAGGGGGGTGTCCCCTATGTAATGGCGATCTGCCAGAGCCTCTGTTGGGCCAGGCGACCAGGCCACAGCCCCTGACCTGCATGGCACCCAGCCCACAGCAGGGGGACTGAAGTTGGAGGGACCCCTCCCAGCCCCTGCCGCCTGCTGGGGTGGGTTTCCACAGACGTCACCATCGGTGGGCCCAGGTGGTGCTTGATGGAGTCACACACCTTCTTGTCCTGCTGTCCTGGGGCCCAGGTCCCCTTGCAGACTCCACAGCCTCCCCTGGGCAGCCAGGCCAGTGTCCTGGGCTGGCCTGGTGGGCATTTGTGCTGTTTGTTGCACACAGCCCCGAGTGCGGGGTTTTCCAGGAGGCCGGGGGAGGGCCACGCCAGCTGGCTACACACAGAGGTTTTGTCGAAGCAGCGTTCTGAGCCAGCCAGGACTGGGGTGGGCCAGGCGGGGCTTGGATCCCAAGATGGCCCAAGGGCCGGGCTGGGGCTTGGCCCTTGACTTTGAGACTCTCCCTGGCTGGTCGGGGATTAAGCGAAGGAGTGTTCTGGCAGAAACAGGAGGAGGCTCAGCCCCAGCCTGGCCCATGAGGTGTGTGTTAGACTCACTTGGCTTGGGAAGTAGGGATCCAGTAGGCTGCATGCACTTGGGGCAGAGGTAGGCAGTGGCGCTGGAAGCCCCTGGGTGGGGGGGTACTGGGTCAAGAGGAGGGGCCACTAATCCAATGTTGGATGCTGTGTGTGTGTAGGGGGGGGCGGGTGTAGGCATTGGGAATGTGCGTTAGTGACAATCGGGTCTCAGTCATGGACCCTCATCCCTCAGAACAAGCACAGGTGGGGAAACTGAGGCACGGAGTGATCACTCTCCCCTGCGGGGACACCCTCAGAGTCACACTGTCCTTGCCCACCCCTACCAGCGCAGTGCCCGCCTCACAGGGGCCCGCCCATGGGTGACAGCTCAGTGTCACCAGGCCTGTGAGGTCCTCACCATGGCAGACATTTCTAAGCTCTTGTCACACCCACCCTCTGACCCCAGGGACAATGCCACCAGAAGGAGGCCTGGCATTCACACCCCTGTCCCTTGTCACCGCTTGTGAAGCCTTGGCTACAGATGATCACATGGACCAGGGTCTGGCTGAGACAGACCCGGGGCTGTCCACGCTCAGCCAGCCTGTCCCCCCCTCTCATCAGCAGGCAGCGCCCCTCGGACCGATGCCAGCCAGAGGATGACCAGCTGTGGCCGGCGGTCCCTGCACGCGCTCATTGTCCTCGTCCCGCTGCTGTTTACTCCAGGTCAGTCCTGCTGCTCGCTGGGCAGCCGGGAGGGGACAGAGGTGGGGTGGGGAGAGGCAGTGCCAGCCCATCAGGGTTCTGAGCTTTGAAGGGGTGGGAGGGGGCTTAATGCCTGTCCCACAGGCATCCCTGGCACGAGCCTGTCACACTGCTGTTAGGGACACCCTTCTCTCCTCCTCTGAGCCACAGCCTGGGGCAGGCAGTCACGCCCATTCCACCGATGGGCAAACTGAGGCTGGAGGAGGGAAGCTGCCCAGCCTCAGAGCTCAGTGAGTACAGGAGCTGGGATTTGAACCCAGGCCAGGGTGAGGCTGGAGACCCACACCCAGCCTCCTGTAGGCCATGTCCCGGAACCGCAGGCTAGGCCCAGAGCTGTGTCCTCAGTCCTGGTTCCAAAGCAAGAGCTGGCTGACCAGTGTAGCCAGCCCAGCCAGGTTCGGCCCCCGGACATCCATCGACCTGGTCTTAGCAGAGTGGACCCTGCTCTCCCAGGACCAAGGGGCTGATGAAGAGAAGTTTGATAAACAGTGAGCCCCAAACCCCTGGAGCTGTCACACACCCGGGCAGCCAGTGGAAGGTCACAGGGGTCTTGAGAGTGAGCGAAAGGTCTCATTGTCCGGGCCCATAGGCCTGGCTCACCTCCCACGCCTCCATTTGCCTGTGGTCTCGGGCAGTCCTGGGCATAGGGAGCAGGGAGAAGGCAAGAATGACTGACCCTTGGTACAAATGAGGAAACTGAGGCTCTGAAGGTGAAGGAGGCCTGCTCGTGGCCACATGACAGTCAGTGGGGGTGCAGCTTGGAGCTGAGACAGAGCTGTGGGCTTCTGTCGGACCTGAGACTGGGACCAGGAGGACAGTTCCCTGAGGAGCCCCACCTCTGTTTTCTGTTGACCCAGAGCACCCCACCCCCGCCCCTCAGGAGTGTCCTGCCCAAGTCCCTCCAGCACCCCACGCCTGGTACGGGCAGCACCCCACGCCTGGTACGGGCAGAGTCAGGCCCACAAGAGAAGCCCTCGCTGCGATCAACCTGCTGGCGCCTCAGAGCCCCCAAGGACCCGGGGCTACTGGTCTTCTGTCAGCTAGTGGTGTAGACGCCGGAGGCACCGAGGGTGGGGAGTGAGGCTGGGTCAGAGCCTGGCACTGCCAAAGTGTCCCCATTCTGCGGGTGGGAACACTGAGGTGTGTGTGTTGGGGGATGGGAGCTGACTTGCCTGAGACAAGCCAGCAGGTAGTGGTGCTGGGACCCCACCAGCTGCAGCCCACCCCGGCATGCCTCTGGCTCCCTGGGCAGCCCCCACCAGCTGCAGCCCACCCCAGCATGCCTCTGGCTCCCTGGGCAGCCCAGACCTCTGTCTGCAAAATAACTCAGGGCCCGTGTATCAAACTCAGGGTGAGCAGATGCAGGGTTGCCCCCGCTCCCCGGGCCTCCCCAGACGACGTTGAGTTAGTCTGGGTAGACTAGAGAAACAAAATTCATAGACACTCATACTTTATGAGAGAGAGAGTTTTATATAAAGGGTAAGTGTCCATTAAGAAAGCATCCCAACTCAGTGCTGTCCAAGCCCATAA